TTCCTGCTGGAAAAAGTCCATTTCAAGACACACGACCGATACATTGTGAACAGGGATTCTCTGAAGATCTTTGTTTTTTTCTTCCGTTCAGTTAAGAATACCCACAGTCCCCTCCTGCTTCTGGGAATGCTTCGGGAATATGAAATCTCCTAGCGAACTCCCTCCCCCACCATCTTTGTCTCAAAGGGGGAAAGGAAGACCCAAGACAGAGGAAACGCGCAGGCGTCTGTGTGTGTGTGTTTGTGTGTGCGCGCGTGCACGGACGCGCGCACACACACACACACTTGCAGGGTTGCCAATTTCAAGGTGGAGCCTGCAGGTCTTCTAGAATTACAACTGATCTCCAAGCTACAGAGATCAATTCCCCTGGAAAAAAAATGACAGATTCAGAGAACAAACTCTATGGCATACCATAGATTCTAGGATAAATCTTTCCCCCCAGTGCCCCCTCCACACACAGCAACCCCAGACCTCCAGGAATTTCCCAACCCAGAGTTTGCAACCCTAATTTGGGGTCCCCATTTGGGGGGGCCTTTGGGCCTCTTTGGCGGAGAACCTAGAAGATGTATTGTGTTCCCTGACTAGCTGTTTCTTTGATTTCTGTTTCTATTAATGAAGCAATCCCCCGTGTCATTGTCTATATAAGTGTTTAGCAAGAAACCAGAATTAAAGCAGTAGAACAAATTTAGAGTCCAGTGGCACCTTTAAGACCAACAAAGGTTTATTTAAGGTATGAGCTTCAGTAAATAAAAAGTGTGTGCACACTTTTTCAAATACATTGGAATGCTGGGTGAGGTTCAAACTTACAGACAGGGACTTAACAGCAAATTAACATGTAACGCATGAGGTAGGCAAAGTCAGAAATAAATAACAAGCTAAGGTTATAAATTGCTTACTTGTGTGTTTTTATTCTTTTATGTAAGCTGCCCTGAACTGGCTTTGGCTGGGAGGGCGGGGTATAAATCTAATAAATAAAAAAATATTGTAAGGTTAACAGTTGTAAAGCAATAAATATGTCAAAATAGCAGATAAAGGTGTCTTTTCTAATTGTGGGAAGCAAACCGAGAACCTGTGTTCTCTCCTCCCAGGAATGGAGATTACTAAACAGCACTTTATGAGGTGGATGCAGTGTCATGTCGGCAAAACATCCCAGTATTCCTTGCATTACAGTCAGTATTCTAATATACTATTCTGAAAAAGAAATACACTAAAAAATACAGAGGATTTATAGTCCTCCTTGTTGAGAATACGTATGTGAGGACTGAATAAGTTAGCATACGTAATGAGATAAGAAACCAATATCCTTGTTGTGTCCTGGGGAGGTTTCTGTTCCAAGTGTTGTAATACCTTGTAATTCAGCAGTCTCCCTTTCCATTCTTCTCCTGAAGTTCCTTTGTAATAAAACAGCTACTTCGAGGTCAACCATTGAATGTCCTGGAAGGCTGAAGTGGTTTCCTACAGGTTTCTCAGTCTTGTGGTTCCTGATGTCAGATTTGTGTCCATTTATCCTCTGGTGTAGGGTTTGTCCTGTTTGTCGTATGTAGAGAACTGAAGGGCATTGTTGACATTTAATGGCATAGACAGTGTTAGAAGATGAGCAAGTGAATGAGCCCCTGATGGTGTAGTTGATTTTGTTACGCCCAGTAATTGTGTTGTCTGGGTGTATGCAGGAGCAAAGCTGGCATCTGGGTTTATTGCAAGCTCTAGTCCCAGTGTCCATGTTTAAATTAGATGTTGCATTATTGTGGGTGAGGAACTGAAAAGCCCATGTAGAATTCTGTCTTTGCCTTCCCAGACTCTGCACATTGTATATAGTATAATCAAATATATAAGAAGTCAGTTTTCTAAACAAGTTTGTCCAATAGTGTTTCTGGTTCTCCGCCCTTCTCCTCTACAGATTTTATGTTTCAGGCTGTTCCAGGATGAAACAATCTGCATATGTTGCAGGCTAGTTCCCATCAGATAACTTTGTTGCTTCAGCTCAGCCATAGCAATCAACAAAACACAAAAAGAAGGAAAATACAATAATATTAATACTAAATTACAATGTCAATGCAAACTATCACATAAATTGTGCAATAAAACAATAATACATATTAACCCTATCAATAAGTCTAAATCCATAGAATCCATACAATGATATAAATCCCATCAAAAGGGTCGTATAGAATAAATTCATTTATAAATATAATTTACTTCAATTATCTTAACTATATCTTGGTAACTGATGCTACAAACTTTGCCATCTGCATTGTGATTCATCTGTCCTTATCTGCCAGTAACATAACTAATTTATTTTGCTCTTACGTCCCGGGCAAACAGTGTAAATCTTGGGCATCAAAACATAACATGAGCCAGATCTTCAATGGATTTGTGGCCGCAGGAGCACACTCGATCATCAAATGGGTTCTTATTGTAGTGGCCCTTCACTACTGCCTATTGTAAAATATCCATCAGGGCCCTAATAAATGCCTGTCTATATTCATTGAGGTAAATCAGGCGAGCTATAGGAAAATATATGTTTTTTATATAAAGTGGTTGAACTCGTGGAACTAAGTAACCCATTATCTACTTGTGAACTTATGCCCAATAATTTTTGTTTAACTACATGATCAAAACCCCTGAAATATTCTTTAGATAATCCTAGTTTAGTAAAGACAATGTCTGTGATCTCCATGATATATCTTTCAGATCTTCATATGTCATTGCTACTAGAAGCAATGCTTGGAAGAAAAATATCTTCAGCCAGAAATATATAACAAGTTTCTGAACTATTATAAATATTGGTGGCAAAGCCAGTTCTAATCTCACTATAACTGATGATGTTTAGTTAGGAACTCCCAGCATTGAACATGCAAATTTATTTTGTATAACTTCTAATGAGTACAGATTTCTAAATCCCCAGATTGGAGCACCATACAACATTTGAGGGAGTAACTTAGATTTAAAAATTTCTAGAGTGGGGGGTACTAATGAACCACCTATAAAATCTGTATACTTCAGATAGTATTTTATTAAGTTTCTATCTAGTTAAGTCAATATGTGTTGCCCAAGATCCTGACTGATGAAAGATAATCACTAGATATTTATTACCTGCTCTAATAAGTTGATTATCTAATAAGATATTTATTACCTGCTCTAATAAGTTGCCATCCATAGTTCACCTATGTCGCTGTATCTGCTTGCTGAAGACCATACTCTTTTTATTTTTTGCATGGAGTAGGTTCTTTTTACAATATAGATTAATTGGTTTAACAGTCTTCTGAGACCAATTTGTGTCTGAGCAATGAGTAATGTATCATCCGCATATAGAAGAACAGACACAACATTTAGACTAGTTCAGTGAAAGGGTACAGGAGCCGTTATCAGTCACAAGGTTACTCAGTGGAAGTTCCTACATCTGTTGATTCAAAACATATTTACTGTGTCTTTCCTTGATTTCAAGGTCACTTACAAACATATATTTTCAAAACATAAAGCCTTAAAAAAATAGAGCTGCAAACAGCTAGAACAACAAAAGGCTTCAGGGCCCAGATCAACTTCGATAGCGGCCAACTCGTCAAGCATAACAGCTGGTAGCGCTGGATGAGAAGGGTCCATTCATATCTGCTGCATATCCAAGCAGTTCAGTGGAGGAAAGGAGCTAAT